AAAAATAAAATTAAAAAAAAAGTTAATTGTTTTAAATAATTGTTTTAAATATTAAATATTAAATAAATTGACTATAGGAAAAATCAAAAAAGTAAATAAATCAAATTATAAATTATATATAAAAATAAAAATAAATAAAAGGAAAGAGGATATAGTGACACGGAGTAAAATGCAAAAACTAAATATTTCGAAAAATATTAAGTTTTACCTGATCTGGAACGATCTTAAAAAAATATTCCCAAAAATTTTGTTACTTCGCTTCCGTCGATATGTAAAATTTTTAGATATTTCTATGCAGACCTTTTATGCTAAAACTGTTATATCATCTGAGGTGATCTTTTGTAAAAAATAATTTTATTTAAAAATATTTTCATTTTTGGAGGTTTTTTATAAACGTTCCAGCCAAAGTAAATCTTAGTATTTTTCCGAACTATTTTTGCAGAAGTCTTACGGCTTTATTCATAAAAAATAAAATAGATTTAAAGAGTTCTATAAAGTGAAATTTTCATAAAAATTTTCTATTCATAAAGCAGTCAAAGTGTTCTTTATTTTTTATGAAATTGGGTGTTAGAATATAATAAGTATCGACACCTGAGTGGAAGATCGACCTATCTCGGGCAGTCAGTTCGAAAACGCCCTATCCCAAAAAACTTTTCAAGAACGCCCTATTTCAGAATTTCATTGAAAAACATCCTGTCTCGGAATTGGGTTCAAAAACGCCCTATCTCAAATGAAAATGTATTGAAAATGTGCTGTGACAGGGCGTTTTTGAATCGGTAGCTGAGGTAGGGCGTTCTTCGATCAAATTCTGTAATATTTCGGGTGTTCTTGAAAAGTTTTCTGATATATTGTATAAGTATATTTCGAACTGGCTACGGAGATTTGACCGATCTTCCACTTAGGTCTTCCGATCTTCGACTCAGGTGTCCATATACTTTATAATTTCGTTGTAAATATAGTACCAATATAAGAAGAGTGATGCATGTTGTTTTTAAACTTTTTCGATATAATTTTTTTTTGATATTAGTTGATATTAGTTGTTATTATATGTTTTTTTTAAATTATGAATACATACTTTTTTATTATTGCATCCATTTCATTTTGACTAAAATATTACCCACATTATTTACGCTTTGCTTAAAAAAATATTGTCTCTATATCACCAATAGTAAAACTGTCAATAAAGCGTCAACCCAAGTGCCTCACTCTTTGTCATTGTTCGACAGCCAGCTTTACAATTCTTTACTTGCAGAAATTATTTACCTTTCGATTGTCGACTACTTGACTTGAACACCATGTGGAACAACTATTCATAACAATAACAATAACAACTACATATAAGTAAATGACTCATTGATTTGTTTACTATCGCCTACCACCGTTTAACTGCTATTGTTTACTATATTTGTTTAATTATTTACTTTATTGACTTGCTACACACAAGTGGTGCAACCATTGTTCATATTTTATCGTAGCAATATACTACAACATTTACAAAGCTTAAATTGAGAGGGTGAATAAAAAGTTATATAATTACGGGATAGTTTTTAAAGTCAAAATTTATATGCGAGCAAATAAGGTTACACACATACATACTTATATATATAACATTTTTTTTTATAGTTTCTGAACCACCATGGCAACATATAAATACATATATACATACATTAATACATAGAGCAAAGGAAAATACCACGAGTGGGCATCTAAATCCAAATAAGGGCACACAACCGTCATACACCTTGTTCTACCATCACAGTTCCTGCTTAGTTTAAGAAACCTTAACTAAGGAAACAAAAGAAGGATAGGTAATTTCTACACTGAATGTGTTCATCGTTTCGTCTACTGGCCCCAGGGTGAAGAGTCTCTACTCGGTTTGACTGTGGTAGCAAGATTTCATTGATAACACCAATACAATTCTAAACATCCGCCTAACCCTCAGGTACTACGGTCCAAGTTTTTTGTGGACTCTATCTGGAACATTAAGAAAGGGTCATGCGTAATTCCAGTTTAAAAACGTTCTTAAGTAGATGCATAAAGCGAGCGCTAACTATTATCTATTTTACACAATTTTTTTCTAAGCCAATCCACCATAGCAACGAAATGCAAACTACTCAGCGAGTATGCAAATGCATATTCATATCCAACCGCATGATATCAGCTGCATAAGTTTATACAATAGTGGTATTCACCAAAGTGAGCAAGTGGCCTGGCAGTCTGGCAAAATGGCACTAATGTATCGATTGGTTAGCTGAAGACTGCCTTAAGACTACCATACATGATGTTAAACAAGTTACATATAAAAAGTTGGTGTAAAATCATATCTAACAGTGCTATATGACTGCATACATCTATGGCGCAGAATACATTTAAATATTGTTACGTCGCACAGTGTTCTGTTTTAGCACAAAAGGGACAAATCAGATATTTCGATAACGAAAAGATATAGCGATATAATTGTAACGGTATTTTAAAGTTTTTGAGATGCAAAATTCAGAATAAATAGTTTCGTTAGATAGAAGAATCACTAAAGCCTTTAAAACGACTTCAAACGTAGAAGGTTTTAAGTTTGTTAATTTTTTTGTACTGAAAACAGTCTGCAATGAACTTTTCAAAAGTTTTAAACACACATTTTTGCTATTTTTGCGTCAAGGAATCTAAACGGAAAACGCATATTATATCTTTTTTTTTAATTCATTACAAGCTGTTTATAGGTCAATAAGTCCAAAATTTTACTTTTGATTTTGAAAAAAATGTAATGCGGTGTTTGGTTTTTGGAACCATGGACATAGATTCCTTGACACTAAGACCGCAAAAATATGTATTTAAAACTTTTTTAAAACTACATTGCAGGCTAGTTTTACAAACAACGAAAAAATTCTTAATCCTTCTATATTTGTGGTCATTTTAAAGGTCAAGTTAATTCTTATATTCAACGGGACTATATATCCTGTATTCTCCATCTTAAAGGCTTAAAACTACCACTACACTTATTTCGCTATCTCTTCTCGTTCTAGAGATATTCGAATTTGCCTTATTTTTTTCAAAAATAAACACTATGTGTCCATGTTATGCACTATGGCATAGTTTTAGAAACAGTGGTAAAAGCAATAATAATGCGATTAAATTTTGTTATTGGCGCACTGCTATATATTTTTCATAACCCTAAAAGTATGCACTGAAATTTGGATACATGTAACTAAGTAGTATCGCTGCAACAGAATTCTAAAATCTCTAACAGGCCTAATCTGCTTGTAACCGACACATGTTGTAACAAGCTAAGTAATTTTGTTACCAACAATTGTCACCACTTCTTGCAACCGCAATTCTATTTACCTTGGTAACGTTTTAATTTATTCAGCAATTCAGCTATGTAGTTTTGTTGAAATTCTGGTGTTGCATATTTCACGGGGCAATATTTTGTTACCTGCTCATGAGATTTACCGGTTACAAGAGTGTGGAGAATACGAAAAGGGTTTAAAAATTGACAGTAACTTTACTTACCGGTAACAAAATTTTTGTTACCAACGCAGAATAGGCCTGTAAATGAATAAAATGAGCCCAAAAATATGCAACACTTCCAGAGGAGCATTACCTGTCGCTGACGCTAACAATTTCAGTTTGCATTTCCCTCGTATTATTATGTGCATCTTTTTAGGAGATTTTTAGCAAGCAAAATTTTTCATATATGAATACCTTAAGAATCTCACTGCTGACACAGTTAGGTTTTATATACATAAGTACGTACTAAGTATAAGTAAAATATATATATACATCAACCAGTTCTAACGCTTTGCAGGCCAAGCCAAAGAGATTTACCAAGGAGTTAAGTTGCTAATATGAAAACTGCGTGAAGTTTGGGTTTTTATTGTTTTTAACGCATTTATTCCGGTACGATTTTTAATCATGTATTGTCATACGAAAAATTACACTAAAGAACCGAAACCGGTTTTTCGACAAACCAAATTTGACAAGGGAAAACGGAAAATCGTTCCACAATACATCATATCACTAGCCTGTCGGAAACACAAACAACTAAAATTGGAAGTTTTAATTCAGCAGCATTATGGTCTAACTTTTTTATAATTTTTGTAATTATAACCTCGCAGTTAACTTTTTTTTAGTTTTTGTAATATAATATTATACAAACAAATTTAAAAAATACAGTTTTTGACATCAAAACATGCTTAGTAGGCATATTAAAAGCTTTACTCAACAACTCAAACCCTGTCGTATTTCTTAAAAGTTTATAGTCCTATCACCTATTACAAAAAAAGCAAAAAAAAAAAACAATAATTAAAAAATTTTCAAACAAGCAAGTAAACCTTGGAAATAGCGACAACCGAGTTTAGAAGCTATCAACGCATGAATTATTTTGGGAAATACCTAGACTTCTGGAAAATTTCCTGAATTTCACTCAATTATAGAAATATTATGACATTTAATTTCTGGTTTACCAACTGTGTCATTTTTATTTATGAAAAATTTCCATAACAAAGTTTCTGCAGCGGAAAGTCTATGAATTGATTACATTTATGAAAGGGTTGAAAGAAGAGAATTTTCAAAGGAAAGAAATTAAAATTTCCATACCAATTTTGGGAACAGGGTAAGGTGTGCAAGAAAATCGATAAGATTGATGACATACCCTGCAGGAAATATTTAACTATTTCTACTTTTGCGCTCATTCGAAACAAAGATAAATAAATAAACGAAAATAGACAGCAGAGCAAAATAAGTATATTTTTAGAAAAATTTTTATCTTAAATGGCAATGCCATTTATTGAACAAAAAAAAAATGTATGTAGGTATATAAATGCATTTCTTGTCTAAAAACTTTCGATATTGACACTTTCGTTAAAGAAAGCAATTTTTTTTATTTGCCAAATCTCTATGCTAAACTCGATTCGACTAAACAAATTTAAATTGGTTTATTTGAATTTTTACCGGTCTTTAAAAAATACATACTAAATATTATAAATAAAATTTTGAATTCGACTTACTGTTCCATGATTGATAGACCGCCTCGCAGAGGGCCATCACAATGTGCGGACTCGTCAACAGCGGACTCTGCATGGGCGTTTGTGTGGCCGATGTGGTCGTATTTGGCGATTGTGATGTCGATGAGGCGGCGCTGCCGCTGCCCGCACTGCCGTGACCACCACTCGATGCAGAGTCATCGGCACCCGCCTCGGGCATATAAAAGACAACAGCCATAATTTTATTTTTGTGATTTAATATTTTTTGTTTGTTTTACTTTTTGCCCTTTTGCGGCTGAGAGTTTTTTGCTTTTTGTATGTTTTTGGCTTTGGTTGTCTTTTTAAAAATTGTTTTCGTTGCACTTTGAAGTTTTTTCGCGCTTTATTTTTCGTTGTGTCAAATGTTGCTGTTTTTGTTGTGCTTGCTGTTATGCTGTTTGTGCGCGATGCGCACCCACCTGCTGCACACACACACACACACACGTACTCACACGACGCTAAACGACGACGTTGCGCTGCGCAGCAATCAGAGTGGGTGGGTGGGTGCTGGTGATTAGCGCTGTTGGGGGTAGGCACGTATGATCTTGCACACGGGCAGGTTTGTGCGCGCAAAAGTGTCGTTATGGAAATATGTATGCTGACTTTTGTTGTTTTGTTTAGTTTTTCGGTAATGCGGGATAGTTTTTATGTATGTAGGTATGTTTGAAAACTTTAA